TGATGTAAATGACGAGTTGATGGGTGCTGACGAGTTGATGGGTGCAGCACAGCAACATGGCACAAGTATACATATGTAACAAACCTGCATGTTATACACATGTACCCTAGAACTTAAAGTATAATAATAATAATAATAATAAATGAATGATCTATTCAGGAATCTGAAAACCAAGAAATAGCAAACATAATGCTAGGTAATAATTTAATGATTTTAAAATATAAACTGAGTCTGACATTTGTTAATTTTAATTATTATTATAGCAAGATGGGACTGTAAAAAAAAAAGGCACACTCAGAACTGTCACTTCCCTTCCCTACTACTGTTATGTAGGTATATATCTGGATTTTCATTTTGTTAGGAACATCTCTTCAAGGTGAATTCCTAGAATGAGATTACTGGGTCAAAAGGTAAATTCAAAACAAAAACAAATACAGTTTTGTTAGACATTGTTAAAATCCCTTCCAAAGGGGTTGTGTCAGTTTACATTTCCACAGCAGTGTATGAGAGTGCCTCAGACTTACCAACAGAATGTGTTCTCAGCCTTTTCAAATTTAGTCAAGCAGGTGAAAAGTAGTATTCAAGGTAGTTTGAATTTCTTTAATTATGAGTGAGGTTCAACATCTTTTCATATGTTTAACATCATTTTGTGCTAATTTTGTGAATTGTCTATTTATATCTGTCTCATATTAGCCCTTTTTCTGTGACAGATGTTGCAAGTATTTCCTTCTAATTTGGCAGTTGTACTTTGACTTTATTTTGCTATGCAAATTAAAAAAATTATGTAGTCAAATTTATCAGTCGTTTCTTTTATTGCCCATTATTTTGAGTCAGTGTTAGCTTTTTTCAACACTGAGTTTATGGAGAAAATCATCCATATTTTTTTTCTAGACTTCCATGATTTAAGTTCTTTTTTTCTTTGTATATATAGATTCCCGATCATTGTGGAGTTTATGCTTGTGAATGGTGTGTGATACGGATGTAATTTTATTTTTTTCTAAGTTGCTGCCTAGTTGTGCCAGCAACGTTTATTAAAAAGTCCATCTTTACCTCCATCACTTTAGATGCCACCATTGTCATTTCCATATGTACTTATATCAATTTTGGGACTTTCTTTGCTGTTCTACTGTCTTTAAATCTATTCTTGTGAAAGTAGCACCCTGTTTTGCAGAGACTTTATAGAATGGTTTAATGTAGGGTAGGACTAGTCAACCTTTGTATTTTCAATTTTTGTGTATCTTCTTGGCTATTCTTACATGTTTGTTTTCCTTATGAATTTTAGCACAAACTTGCATAG